TTGGTTCCCCCAGCTAGGATAAGGAAAAGCAAATGGTTGGGTACAGCCAGCTATCCCAGCAACCCAGGAAAGCCCAAGTGAGAAGATCACAGTCTAGGCATAAAATGAGACTCATCAAAATAAACAAACCCCAAGCCAGATGCCAGTGGCTCACACCTGTCATCCTAGCTATTCACTGGGCTGAGATCTGAGGCTCATGGTTCAAAGCCAGCCCAGGCAGAAAAATCCATGAGATACTTATCCACTCAATTAATCACCAAAATGCTAGAAGTAGGGCTGTGCCTCAAGTGATAGAATGCCATCCTTGGGCAAAAAAAGCTAAGAGACAGTGTTTAAGCCCCACTACGGACACAAAGATAAACAAATAAAATTTTAAAAAGTTAAAAAAACAAATAAAATAAATAAAAGAAGGACTGGTAGTGGCTCAAGTGATAGAATACCTGCCTAGCAAGCACAGGTTCAAACCCCAGTATAATACAGACACACACACGCACGCACGCATGCACGCACAGAGGAACTTGACAGTTGACAAAGCTCTCCTAGGTCCAAACACCTTGATCTTCCTTCCCAGACTAGTGCTGGATGGCCTCCAGAAAATATATGTTGGGGTCCTGGCACCTTGGTCACCCACTGTCATGATCCAGAGACACCATCACTGGATAGGTCACAGGGTCACCCAGCCAATGATTGTTGTACCCTACTGTGTGGCTGACAGGGTACTGTAGTGGGATGAGCGGGACAGTCCCCACACTTCGTCCAGTGTCTCAAGACTGCACAGCCCCTCATCTCATCCCTACAAAGCTCACTCGGCACCTCCTGTCCTGCTGCTGGCTCTACAGAGAGGGACAAAGAAGGTGTAAGGGACCTGAGACCAGCCTATTCTCCCAGGCAGGACAATAAGCCAGGTGTTGACAGGCCCTGATTCTTGCTGAGAACAAATCATTTTCACGGGAAAGCTATTCCCTGTGCCTTCAAGAGGCCCAGTCTGAACAGCCTCACAAAGGAAACAACCTTGTTCAACAACCAGCTGTCCAAGCTGGTGAAACCCAAGGGGCACTCCCTCAAGTCCACACCAGCAACCCCAATGCACCAATGGGCCGAACTCCCCTCGGAGTGTCTAAGCAGAAGTTGAGTGGAATTCCGTGAGACAAGGGAGGGGTGTCTTTTTATAGAAAGCACTCAGTCACAACCAATAATATGCTCCCTTATGGGAGTCCCTTCTCTGAAGGTTGCTAAAGATAAAATATGCATTTTACCATGCACAATGACAAGTTTAAACCCATTTACTGGAAGTTGAGAACTCTGTACAGCCCCACCACCTATGAAAACTGTTGGGGAGGAGGTGGTTCTGGGTTCCTCTGGCCCCAAGAACACTCAACAAACTATGTTGTTGATTCTGGAGGAAGATAAGGCTATGATATAGTATCTAGAATTTCATACCTGTATTTTTTCCTGACAGGAGTATAAAATGGTATCGTATCCCCTGTTGAAAAAGTCTGCAACTCCTTCCTTCCCTTGGTCCTTCCCTTTCTTCCTTCCTTCTTTCTTCCTGCCTTTCTGCCCTCCTTCCTTCCTTTTTCAGTACTGAGATTTTAACTCAAAGCCTCATTCACACTTTTTTAAGGCTTTCACTCTACCACTTGAGTCATTTCTCCAGTCCAGTCCCATTTTATATTGCTGGTTATTTCTGAGACAGGGTCTTGCTTTCCACTCATATAGGTGTTTGACTTGTGGTCCCCCTATTTTAGGCTTCCCTTTATTGCTGGGATCACAGGTGCTCACCACCACATCAAGCTTCCCTCCATTTAATGATTTTAGATTTTTCTGTCAAGGATGATCTTGAGCCTCAACCCTCTCAGGCTCAGCCTCCCCAGTAGCTAGAATTACAGGCATAAACTATAGCACCCAGTTTAAGTCCAACATCTTTGTAAAAGGTTCACATACACCTTCTCTGTCACCCCCCCCTCACCCCCGGCAACTCACTTCTGAGTATTTATTCATGAGAAGACTTGGACACACATGTTCGTGCAAGCCAGCACTGTTCACAATAACCAAAACTAAACAAAAACAAACATACAAACCGAAGCCCTAAATCCATAATCCCAAATCCATCAACATGTGAGCAACCTGTTATGTAAACATACCTCCAGAATACAAAGTCAACAGTAAGAAATCACCAAGTGCCTGGTACTAACAACATAGATGAGTCAGGAAAACATGCTGAGGAAAAGAAGCCTTTTCTGGGTGCTGGTGACTTACACCTATAATCCTAGCTACTCAGAATGCTGAGATATGAGCACCAGGGAACAAAGCCATCTTATCTCCAATTATCCATCAGAAAGCTGGAAGTGGAGCTGTAGCTCAAGTGGTACAGTGCCAGCTTTAAGGGGAAAAAAGCTAAGGTCCTGAGTTCAAGCCCTAGTACTGGCACCAAAAAACAAACTGAAAAGCCTTATATAGCACTGAAGAATTCCATTTGCAGGAAGTTCAGGAACATCCTAAACTAATGTGTGTTAGAAATAGAAGAGTGGTTGATAAGAAGGTGGGGGCAGAAACAGAATAGACGTGAGGGAGTTTAAGGAAATTGTCAAGGGTGATGATCTGTCTTGATAAGGAGTAAGGATACACAGGTGCATGCATATATGAAAACATTATTCAAACAGCACTCACAGCTTGTGCATTCACTCTTTGTATATAAATATTACCTTAAGAAATCACGAACATATTCTGAACTCTAATAAACTATTTGCTCAAATGTTTACAAGGATTTGTCTGCAATTTCCTTTAAATACTTAAGACAATAAGCTAAGACTGACGGGTAGAGACAGAGGTCAGTGGACAGATGTGTAGTAAAGCCAGTGTAACACAATAGTAAGTAGAGAGTCTACATATGGGTTTCTGGGTGATCACTGTTACCACAACTTTCCTTTATCTGAAAAAAAAAGTGGTGGGCTAAGCCAAATGCCAGTGACTCCCACTTGTAACCTTAGCTACACAAGAGGCTATGATCCAGAGAAATCAAAGTTCAAAGCCAGTATAAAGTCCTTGAGATTCTATCTCCTATTAACCAACAAAAACCTAGACTGGAGGTATGTATAGTTCAAGTGGTAGAACATCAGCCCAGCAAACAAGCAAGCTGAGGAACCCCAAGGCTCTGAGTTCAAACCCCAGTACCTCCAAAACAAAAAAGAAGAGATGAGAGGTGGAATAGAGTCAGGGTGACCTTTCTTTAACATGCCCACCAAGCCACACAGTTCCAGCTCTAATCAAAAGTGAAGACCAGAGGAGTACAAGTAGCTTTACAGGAACTCACATCACTCATGCCAAAGATTTTCTGCCTGTTTCCCTACAGACGAAGCAATTATTTGAAGGGAAGCCAAAAATTCCTGCTCAGGAGGGAGAAACTCTCTCAATTTGTATCCTCCATCTATTCTATTTCAATTCCTACACAATCTATTAGCCAACTGCACAATACTCTACTTCCATTTGCTCAGAGTCTACATCGCCAAAAACACGAACAAAGAAAACCCAACCCAGTGACTCCATCCACAAACTGCAGCCAGGGGAATGATGTCCCAGCCACGGATGGGCTGGAGTCACTTCTGGCAGGCCAGAAACGCCAGGGAAAGGCAAAAGAGGACGCAGGGTCCCGTCTGAGGTTACAATGATTTTATTGAGGTTAGCGCACATGCACGAAAGAACCCCAAACAGTTTGCTGCCTAACCCCTCTCTGGGGCTGGTGACATCTGGGGTCATTTGCACTTCCTCGGAACTTGGCTGTTCAAAAGTACAAATTAGGACTCTCAGAAGGGAAGGAGGGGTGAAGAGGGGACACGTAGGGTGCAAAGCCAGCCTGGCCACAGGCGCCCAGGTCGCTCACATTACACCCGCTTCCTTCCTGGCAAGGCCTCATTTATCCTGAGATGACACACGGTGGCAGGGTTGGAAGGCGCCTAGTCTGCACGCAGGGCATCTGAACGCAGCTGTAGCCATTGCGCCAAGGGGCTGTTGCTGGGATCCAGGCGGGCACACACACGCACAGACGCATGCACACACACACACGCGCGCGCGTGTGCCAGACTTTTTTAAAAAGGTAGTTTTTGTTTAAGCCCCCAAACAAACTCACTGACACCCCCCAGCGTCCCTGGGAACCAGCACAGCCACTTGGGCAGCTGATCCGCGAGCCTGAGAGAGGGCAGCAGGGAGCGCGCCTGGGCCTCTAAGCGGTTCTCGCTGCCCAAGGTAGTTGTACCCGAGGTGAAGGGCACAACCGGAGCGCAGGCCTGCCACCTCAGCCCCCCGAAACCCACCACCTTTCCCCACCCTCTACCCAAACCGACAGCCAGGCTCCACCCCTTGAAAGCCGGGGAGGTCAGGTCAAGAAAATCCCTTACAGAGAGGAGATTCCCCGCTTGCAATGCCGGGGACCCTGGGCGCCTCCCGGGTGCGCGCGGACCGCTGCTTCCGCTCATCCAGCACCTCCGCCCCGGGCGCACGCGGGGGGTCCGCGGGGCACCGCCCCGCCCACCTCCGGGCCACGCTCTTCTCCAACCTGAACCCCACCGCCGGCCCCACCTCCTCTGTCCAAGACCCCTGCAGCCATGTCTTGGACCCACCTGTAGCCTCGAAGCGCCTCCTCTGCGCCCTTCCGAGGCGCCCTTAAATCTGTACGCAGAGCCCACTCCCCCCCCCCCAGGAAGGCCACTCCCCAGGGCCTCTACACGTGCCAGGGTGATTTCCCTTCCCCTTCCCTCCCCTCCCCCCAAATAAAGTTGGCCCAAACCCTGCCGTCCCGTGGATCTGTCCCTGTCCCCTTTCTGCCCACCCTGGCCAGGGGGGGCTCGTCCAGCAGCTCCGGGGCCCGGGTACAGAACTACCTGCGAGGAGGTGCCGCGGGGCGCCGGTCCTGCCCGCTAGCCACTTAGTCCCGAGGACCTAGAAGGAGGGGCCTGTGCCCTACCGCATCCCCGCCCGCCCAGCCCCGCCGCGCGCCCCCCTACCTTTCCCGATCCGCGGCGGCGGCGAAGGCGCGGGCTCCCCGAGACAGCGTGCGGCGTCCCGGGAGGAAAGTTTGTGCCATGCAGGGGAGGCGGCGCGCGGAGGGCGTGGGCGCCGCGGTGGG